CTGTATTATTACAAATTTTCTGTTTATTTGTTGTATCAATTACTGAGAAAGAAGTGTTGACTTCTCCAATTATGGGGTTGTCTGTATCTTCCTGCAATTCCTTTTTTGTTTTTTGTACTTTTTTTTTTTTTGACAATGAAATTAAATGATTTAATAGAAATCAATAAGAAAGATATCTGGAAAATCTCCAAATACTTAGAAATTGAACAGTACACCCATGTGTCAAAAAGAAGTTTACAAGGGAAATAGAACACATTTAAAGTGAGCAAAAATGAAAATGCAACGTATCAAAATTTGTGGGACCCAGCAAAAGCTCAGAGAGAAATGTATAGCCTTACATAAGTTCATGTCTACACAGCGGGAAGTGCTTTGCACGTGGCCAATGCTCACAAAACGTTAGCTCTTATTGTTATTAGGTGTATATCAGTACTCTCATTGGCAGAATGATGAAGTTGCCACATTATCATTGTTGGTTCCTATGCAGTAGATGCTGTAAATTTGTCACTTTGAAGATATTATAAGGAGAGGTAGGATTTAAACCTAAGCAGTCCGACACCAGGTACATTCTGTAAACCACTTCATCATGCTATGTCTAGATGTTGAGTGGTTTTCAAGTTACATTACTAGTAAATATCACAGGCAGGACTCAAGTCTAGGCCTTTTGAATTTGAGTAGTTCATTGTCCACTTTACCATGACATCTATTCTAATTATTCAGGTTTGATCTTATTTCCCAAATTATATTGCATCTTTCTTGAAGGAAGAAAGTGGTATCATCCATTTATCTCCCTGGCAAATCCTCAAGAGAGCTCCTCCGATGAATGGGCTGTCAATACATGTATTGACTAAAATACAGTAACTTAAGGGAAAACTCAAGTCAATGAGGAAATATATATGAATTTTACATATCTATTGTTGTCTTAAAAAACTTAGCTCTCTACTTCTACCTCTTAGGAGAGTGGCCATTTTTAGCAAGCAAGTATGTTTGCCTGACAACCACATATTAGCTCCTTTTTACCCTCCTCTATTCCAGAAAAGCTTCTCGTTTCTATTAATCTGTGATCTATTAATAATAATTATTCACTGGTTTCATGACAAGTGGTTAAATGTGAATAGACATTACTCAAAGTATACAACTGATTAATCAGAATATGACATTGGGCAATCACTGCTCAAAGCTAACAGCATAATGGAAGGTAATGTGCTATACTTGGATTTCATGAGTTGCAGCCAAATATGGTAGGTAGAGGAGGGCTGTAAAACAAGCACTGTGAAAAAGTACCTTCCTTTGAAAGGTTGTCGAGTTACACTGACAAAGCATTCATTCCTACTTTCACTAAAGGTTTTACTTAAATTTTTTCTGTTTTTGGCTGTGTCTCATGCAGAGATTTTCAGAGGAATAAAAGTTCATCTGTTTGAACAGTTTTAATGGTTGCTGTACAAATTGATAAAAGCCACACATCTGTTGTAATCATCATCACTAAAAGTACTATTATGTGCAAAAGTATAACCCGGTAGTAGAAAATAGAAGCTCATATCTTTGAATGAATTGTTTCCCGTTCTTTGCTGGTGTTGCAGTCAGACAACATCTGAAAGGTTTGGCTAAACTACTTATACCTTTCACTCAGATATTTTCTTTTTGAAAAACCAAGCTAATGCTCCATTTTGTTATGTAGAAATTGCTGGAGACATGATAAAGTAAGAAGAAATATCCGAGCTAGAGTCCTGCTCCTCCCAGTTGCCTGGGTCAGCCCAGTCTAGTTTCTTGTCCTTCTGATCCTTTTCACTGTTCTGTAGGACAGAGATTTTTTTATCAGCCTCATGGAATTGTTATGAGAATTAAATAAATAATGTTTGTACAGCACACTGTCCGTAATAAACATTCAGGATAGATTTGTTTCCTTTGTTTTTGGTACATAAATTATACTTCCCTTCTGCAAGTGGTAGTTTATCATTTTCTAAAATAGAGTGAGTTTGAATGCAAAAACATGAGAATGTCAGCTTTAAAACATACGAATGAGAGCCAGTTTGGAAAAGGAATTTAGTTAGAAACCGAGCCTCATGCCTGTTCTGCAGCTTTCCCAGTGGAAATGGAAATTCCTTGAGGCTTAGAGGAAAGCCAGTGGAGGCCACAGTCAACAAAGCAAAACTGTCATTGCATTACTTTTTCTTGCTGGTGTGACACGTAAGTGCGCTCCCTTTTGTTGGTTTCTCATGTCTTTGAGTAGTATGTGAATACTGTAAGTTCTGTTTAGCTTTGATTATGTGCATTTTGTTATCTAGATTAGTGATTATCAAAGGGGGTGGATGCACATGCCCCAGAGGTTGCACTAACAGTTCGTCCATAGAAGCATGGAAAGAAAATATTAGAGCTTTTATTTATTCATCTAAAAATAAAGAGATTTAGTTTTACTAATAGTATTGGCCTTTACAATGTGCCAGGATCTGTGTCAGCTTCAGTACTCCAGATATCCCGAGGGAGGAGATAGGAGGAGTTCCTCAACTCGTAGGGCTTGGCATACATGAGCTCACCTGTTCATTCACATAAAGCTTAGTGTAGTATATGTGTTCCTGGTTACAGTATCAGGATTTAATTAAACCCTCACGAAATAGTGTGTTTCCCCACAGACTGAAGGTGATAGAAAAATATAAGCACATATGACAAAAGAAAATGGCAGAGCTGACATCCCCCTCCTCCTAGAACAAGTGCCACATTACAGGGGGAAAACAATGACAAACCAGCCTAATCTCACAAGAAATGGATCCATAAAATATATCAGGAAGACTGTTAGCACTCTGGATTTATATTCACTGTAACAAACAATGCATCTTACTGTGGGTGAATATTGTGCTTGCTGATGGTTCTGTGAAACCGCTGTGATTTGTGGGACATAGAACTAATTACCCAAATTATTTTCAATAACATTTTAATGAGTACAAAAGTGTGTTTTATATCATTGATTTTTTAAAATCTAATTAATTTTATCTTTATCTCATTTGTTTACATTTATTTTTATGAATATTTTATAATATATAAAATATCAGTACTGTAGTATATTGTATGATTTAGAACGTACTAGAACATATATTGCAAGCACATCCTCATTTTTTTACTTGTAGATGTGTACAACCTGAAAAGTCTGGAGACCTCTGGTCTAGATTCTGACTGATCATCAAAATAACCTGGAGAGCCTGATGTATAATGGCAGGTCCCTGACCAGGCCCTGGAGTTAGCCTTTCACAAGGCTTCTCAGCTGCTTCTGATGATCAGCCATGCTTGAGAACTACTTCTTGTTTATGTTATCTACTGCTATAAACAAAACAAAACAAAAATCCAGTAGTGAAATGTCAGCTTTGAGCACATGTTAGAAAGAAAAAAGAAAGCAGTCAGTAATCTTCAAACATTTGTAACATCTACTTTTAATTTTTTTAATTATCTGTTTTTAACAGATATGCTCCTACTTTTTAAATGTCTTTTGGTCAAAGTAGATAATTTTATGGATAGGTGTTAGGTTGACCCATATGAAATTGCTAACATTGAACCCATTAAACCATATTTTTACCAACAAAAATAGCATTTCACATGTTAACCATTCTTTTTCTCATGTTTGCAACCTATGAAGATATTTACACAAAAGGAAAGCATTTCATATGCATATTTGTTGTTGCATATTTTTAAAATAGGATTTTAATCTATTATGTTTTGCTATCTGTATTGTGCCTTTCTTCAAAGATTTATTCACTATATTATAGAAACCAATTTCTGGACCTGCTGCGTGTAAACTCTGTGAACAAATATTAATCCCAGAAACTCAAAAAGACTTAAAATCCGACATGGGGAGGAACAAGGCTCATAGGCACGTACTGAAAAACCAACTTATGGACGAAATAAGCAACTTGCAAAGGAGCCAAGTGGTGCCAGCAAACTGCTTGAGATAAAGAAATGGTTTATCTGGAATCACAAGCAGTGTCACTAGTCACGGGCTGCCTTTGTTCTCACTCATTGCCACAGAACTGTGAGGCACATGCTTGTTAATGGTCATGGCGCCAGCATTTAGTGGCATTTATGTAATATAGTGTACTTTCCACTGGAATGGTTAAAAGTTATTGTACTCTTAAACAATTAACATTTAAGAGAGTAATTCTGAAAGAAAATGCATTAAAATGTTTATGAATAATTGTTTGTAACTTAATATATTTAACCTATAAAATAGAAGACATAAAAGGTAATGCTCAACTTGACAAAAACACAATAATTTTTTATATTTTTGCATGTCTGACTACAAACATCTAAATGTTATTTTCTTGAGTTTAAAAGGGATCTGCAGTCTTCTTGCTTTATGAACACTGTGGTTTTTTAAATAATTTGCTGAAAAATGATGTTTTCATTTTTAGTGACAAATATTTAGGGACAGTGCTATCTCTAGAACGCTACTGTGTTAATATCTTGCTACATACTTTGAGCTGTGCTATAACATGAAGCAGAAGTAATTATAGGTTGCTATTCATTATCCCTGGTGATCAGGGTAAGGGAAATGTGGCTAAATTAAATTCATAGATAATCTTCAAAACATCATTTTAGCCATTAGCTTCAAATTCCTTTTCTGTTAAGCCCTTTTGAAATAGAAAGAGAGAGGGGCTACTACTGAGCTTCGAAAGTGATAGGCTTTAAGGTTTAGCTTTCTCTCCTAACTTTTCTGTTGGACACTGCTCTCTAAATGAAATATAAATGCAAGGTCGGGCAGCACAAGAAAGAGGAGAATTCAGGAGGCTACTTAATTCACAAAATAAATAATCAGCCCTGGGTACTGAGGGGTTGCCTCTGATTCAGCTGTCAAATCCAACAGAGAGCTAACTGCATTTGGGTGAGGGCTAGTGAATTAAAAGCCAGGTCATTGTAGGAATGCAATCATGATAGTTTGACTACCATGTAAGAAAAGCATCTACTAAAAATATATTTCATACATCTGCTTGTTTAAAAAATAACACTTTACATTACAGGTGATCACCTTCTTTAGCTCAAGGTTGCTGCAAGCTGGAGCTGAGCTGTCAGTGGAACGGGTCCTGGAAATAATTAAGCAAGGTGTCGTTGCACTGCCCAAAGACAGGCTGAAGGTAAGATGGCTAAAGAAATGTCCGCTTAACACTGCTGTGTCCCTTGATGTAAATGTTACTGTCTGAGCAGGTCCTATCCAGAATCATGCTACTTACTCAGTACATAGACTAGAAGGGCTCCTCAGAACTTTGATAAAGGTTTCTGACAGCTTTTTAAAAGAAAATAGCAAAAGAAACATTAATACTTTCATACCACCGTATATCTTACAAGTAACCATGGCATGCACTATAACTCAAATACTGTCAATAAAGGGACACATTATTTTTTTTTAATCCAGTGAAACAAATTCAACCTTAAAAGTATCATCAAGAGTTGATGAGAAGGTGCTGATTACAACAGTAGCTGATACAGTGTTTCACAGTGTGATTCAGTGCCACACAGGTTCTAAATGTATTATATCGAGCTCATTCAGTCCCTACCACAGCCCTTTGAGGTGGGTAGTGGTATCATCCTAATTTTTCAGATGAGGAAACTGATGTACAGTGAGATTAAGAAACTTAGCCGAAGCTATACAACTGGAAAATGAACGACTGCTGCGTGCCTGCGATGTAGTAGTAGAGAGAGATTAACTTTGTGGAGAAGGTGAGGAAATGCTGTATTTGAAGAGGCATTTACATCTGTGTGATAGATGTTTTCCTGAAGCGGTCTCATGATATAAAACTCATACTTCAAGGCTAATTATCCCATAAGAAAAGATGTAAAGGGGATGCTTTGGGGGAATGCATGAATGTACAGCATTGCAGCTTACTTTTACTTTACTGTTCTTTTTAATTTTTTCTTCATTTGCTCTAATTTCTTAGAGTGCTTTCACCTAAATTACCAACACAGAGGTCATAGTGGATATTTGGCCTTCATAATGTTTTATCACAACTAACGTCTGTTCCAGTGTTACTGTTTCTGGGGGACTGTGTTTTTCAGCACTATCACTAGAACCACTGCTTAATGAATGCTTGAGAGATACTGTTGTAGGATATAAAAATATTTTCAATTATAATAACAGAGTTTGTAAAATAACAGCACATTAGTCATCATAATCACTTACAGAAGTTCCACTGTATATAAACAACAGTGAGATTCACACGGTCCTGAGTAAAGATGGCAAATGTTCCGTTTATCAGCCAAAGTGGCACCACCATGTGGTAAGAGCATAAAAACAAGTTACAGTTCATTGGGCCTCCACCTTGGATGTGTTCCTGTTCCCGACAATTTTCTAAATGTAGATAATTCATATTATTTCCATTTTTACATAAAATAAGACCTTGGTTTGTTGTTTGGGGGTATTTTTGTGGGATTTTTTTGAACTATTGCAAATTTATGTAAACTATACTATGTGAACCAGTACAAAAAAACAATCCATGAAGATTAGGGTGGCTACTCCCAGGAAGTGATGGATCTTGATGTCTAAGCTCAGTCAAGAACAAAGTAGAAATATCAAGAGGCTGCCAAAAAAGGACACTGCAATGGAGTCTGGGGAAGGGGGATTTTGATGAGATCAAAGAAGCAGCACAGTGTAAGTAACAGCGATTGCGATGAGAAAGCAGCGTATTTAGATTTCAGGTGTCAAAAGTGGAGCAGATCTTGGGGATGACATAGTCTGGATTTGGCCATGAGTATAGGGGATAGAGATGGGTGAATGTGGATGAAAGTCACTGTGATTGAGCCATTAACAGTTCATGAATTGGGAGCCTAGGATGAGTCACTCACATGAGCATCCTCTTAGTCACCCCAGATGATGACAAGTCAGAGGGGAAAGAGAAAGACTAGGAGCCAACTACCATGGTAAATGGGAGAATAGCCTAGAAGTCAATAGGGGCAGCTACCAGGGAGAGAAGAGGCTGGTACCAGCTTCATAGGGGAAGAACCTTTTGTTTAAGGGCAGAGTAATAATAGTGAGAGAACTACAATGAAAGCAAAGAGGACACCAACCTTCAGACCCTGAAGGGTATGAAATATGAAAGAATGTGCAGCCTCCACTTCCAAAGGTTCCAGGGGAATCAGAATCCTGCTGGGAGAGCCTGATTTCATGTAAAGCAGAAGTAGGGAGGGAGGATGCAGTACAAGGCCTGAGAATGTAGTGACACTTGATAACCACAAAGCTGAGTTTCAAAAAGGCACTATGAGTATGGGAGGACGAGAAGAAACAGATTGGATCGGGGGAGAGAAAGCACAAAGCAATATGGGAACACTGCACAGGAGAGGGTGGCTGTTTGGAATGACCAGTGAGATAAGGAGATGTGACATGTTAGGTTTCAGTGTACCACCGTGTTCTATCAACACTGAATAATCTTTAATAAGCATCTGCTCAGTGAGGGCCCTTGTTCTGCATGCCTGTAACCCAGGCAAGCAGAGATCATGCCCTCCCAGGGCCACAGACTAGTAGGAGGAGACAACAAGGACTAGTAACCATAATAAATAACAGAAGGCTCTAGTGTATTAGACCATGGAAAGTGCTGTGGACAATAGAGAAAAAAAATGGCAGGATTTGGGGAGCGTCTGTGAGAATGTGGTAGGAGAAAGTTATAGAATTAAAAGGGTGGTCTGGGCAACATTGAGCAAAGATAAGAAGGAGGTGAGCAAGTGTAACATGCTGACACCAGAGGAGTTCTCAGCACTAGAAACAGCCACTGAAAATGTCCTCAGGCAGGAGGACACCAGGCATGTTGCAGAAATAGCAAAGAGGGGACCACAGTAGCTAGAGCCGCAGGATCAAGGGGAGAGTTATGCATAGCAGATGGACAAAGATGATGGGGGTGGGAGGTCCTTGTAGACCAGTTTAATAATTTTGGTTTCTTTTCTGAGTGAAATGGGAACCAGTGCAAGATTTTAAGAAGAGGAGTGGAGAAAGACTAGGAGCCAAATGCCATGGTAAATGGGAGAATGGCCTATAAGTCAGTAGGGGCAGCCACCAGGGAGAGAAGAGGCTGATATCAGCCTCACAGGGGCAGAGGCTTTTGTTTAAGGGCAGAGTAATAATAGCTAATGTTGTTTAGATTTTAGTAGAATCACTGGCTACTGTGTTGAGAAGCAGAGCAGCCAGGTAGAAGACTGTTGCTTGTTATGCTGTAAAAGAAGAATTAAGCTTTTCATTTTATGCAAGAGGGCAATGGGTAGAAATTGGACCAAGACGTGTGAGTTTAACCTAAGGAAATGCTTTCTGACTACTGAAGTTGTTTAGCAATCAATATGTGGCTTCATGAAATACTTCATGAATACTTCACATGAAGTATTCATGATAAAGCCTGGATGGTAAATAGAAGATCACCAGATGGCAGGGGACTCAAATGTAAGACAGAGGGGGAAAGGGCCAAAAGAATTCCTATTAATGGAAAGTTACACAGGATGAACCCAAAGATTTCTTGGAGTTCTTAAGGGTCTAGAATTCTGTTATAATTCCATGATGAGTTTTGCAGGGCAGTACTCTAGTAACTCTATTTACAGATATTCAGAGGGCAAGGCCCTGTTGTTACCCAGTAAAGTCTGGGGTTCTTAGACTGGAATTCTAGACCATTTATTCACAATGTAACCCCAACCCACCATTTCAGTCTTTTTTCTCCCTATTTCCTTTTACCCACTCATTGCTCCAGCAAACCAGAACTCTTTCTGCCTTTTGCTTCTTCCTTTCTTGCATTTTTGGATTTGCTCACACAGTTCTTTCTTCTTGATAATTCATTCTCCCAACTTTGATTTTTCTTTTCTCTTTCCTTTAGAGGCAGGATCTCCCTATGTTGTCCAGGCTGGAACACAGTAGCTTTTCATAGGCTTGATCATGGCACACTAGAGCCTTGAACTTCAGGCCTCTGCCATCTCTGTGCCCCAGCCTCCAGAGCAGTGGGATGGTAGGCACTCAGCACTATGCCTGGCCCACCTTTGCTTTTTGCCTTTCTAAATTCTAAGGGTTCATTAAAGGCCTTGATGAACTTAACTTTTGTGAAGCTGTTCCCTTTACTCCTCAGTGTGCGTTTGTCTTCCTCAAACCACCCATAGCACTTTATGCCTGCAACCTGTGAGCCTCCTGTCATCTTCTAACTTGTGTTTAGTTTTTTAAAATGTTAGATAAATGAAAAGTTCACTTTATATACTGTAATGAGGAAATCGTTAGAATTTAAGAGTTTGGGAGTGACATTTTCTGTCTCTTGACCTGCTTTTCTAACTTTTATTCTGTCATCCTCTTTGGAAATTGAATTCATAGAAATGTTTCTTTCTCTGTGTGCCAGTTACTATCCTAGACACTGCAGATACAGCAATGGACAACAGTCACAATCCCTGCCCTCTTAGAGCTTTGTTTTATGGAGAATATACACAATATAATAAATAAGTAAACGTGTTATTTTAGATAGCAGCCAATAATAAAAAGTAAATAGGCTGGCTGCAGTGGCTCATGCCTGTAATCCCAACACTTTGGGAGGTCCAGGCAGGTGTATCACTTGTGGCCAGGAGTTTGAGACCAGTCAGGCCAACATGGCCAACATGGCAAAACCCCATCTATACTAAAAATATAAAAATCTGCCGGGAGTGGTGACATGCACCTGTAGTCTCAGCTACTCGGGTGGCTGAGGCAGGAGAATCACTTGAACCCAGAAAGTGGAGGTTGCAGGGAGGTGAGATCATGCCACTGTACTCCAGCCTGGGTGACAGGGTGAGACCCTATCTCAAAACAAACAAATAAATAATAAAATAGAAAGTAAATAAATGAGAGGAAGATAGACAATATTGGGAAGGAGACCATTTTAGATAGGATGGCCAGAAGGGGAGAGACTTGAGCTGATACTATTGGCATTTTCTTTTTTGTTTTTGTTTTTTTTACATTTTATTTTTAAGTAATTTAACACCTACAGAAAAGTTGCAAAAATAGAGTTCATATAAATCTTTTTCCCTTTGTATCCCTTCCTTATGATCACTTGTAGCCCCTTTCTTTTGGCTTATCTCTCACTAATTGTATCCTCAGCCCATTTTTGTTTACTTATTCCAATCTCAGATTTTCTTTTCTTTTTTTTAAAAA